AGACCCGCGGTGATTGCTGGTAGCATGTTACATCCTGTCTCTTATACACATCTAGATGTGTATAAGAGACAGGAGAGAGAGAGAGAGAGAGAGAGAGAGAGAGAGAGAGAGAGACGTAGAAGGAGAGACCAGAGGCAGTCCCTCAAATATAAAGATTAGTTGAAGAAGAAAAACAGAAAAAGACACCACGCCACGAAAAATGAGGTCAAGCATGAACACGACGACGGGAAGCAAAACCATGGATTAGAAAGGGCGGGGAAAACGAATAAAACACGTTACCTTTTCGTTGAACATAACTTATCCCCCCCCCCCCCCCCCCCCCCCCTGTCTCTGTCTCTCTCTCTCTCTCACTCTCTCTCTCTCTCTCTCTCCCCCCCCCCCCCTCTCTCTCTCTCTCTCTCTCTCTCTCTCTCTCACACACGACAAGCCCACCCGTTCCCCCCTAGTTCGTCTGGAAACTTGACCAGCTATGCGAGCATTTAGCACATTGAGTTCATCAAATGCAGAGGGCAACGGAGCGTGTAAGGACAGGGTATGAATGAATGAGTAGTGAATGGTCAATGAAGACAGGGAGAAAGAGCGTATACAGAGGATGTGTTGGGAGAAGAGAGGAGATTGCAAAGACCTGAGCAGTCAAGAGAAGAGCGGATATATAGACTTATATAGACAAGAGAATAGGGGATATATATAGATATATGTATGGGGTCACTGAACAGACGGCATATATGTGGGGTCAGTAAACAGACGGCAGACGGAGCTGAGGAACAGGCTAGCCTCCTAATAGCGTAGAGATTTATCGATCGACTAATCAGCTGACGTGGTCGTTGATGTGACTCCTGGCTTCCCGCCAACCCCTTGCAAGATTCAACTGAGCCCGCCCTCCCTACCTCTCCCTCCGACTCTCCCGCCATCGCTTGAATGCGCGCGCCCGCCCGCGGCCGTATCACGGCGCTCCTCCCTCGCGCGCGACCGAAAGAAAGAACGCCCCGCCGCCCGACCAGACCGACCGACCGACCGACCGACCAACCGACAGCCGAGGCGGACCAAGTGACACACTCGCAGAGTCGCCCCCCCCCGGCGACGGAGATCCAGATCGCAACTGATAAAAGACAAAAATATACATAATATAATAAGTACAAATATATATGTATATATATGGAACAATGGAACAAACATTGACAAAAAAGGGAAGGGAAGTGAGGGAACTGAACGGGAACTGAACAGCCCGCCATGCCATGGGCCCTCGCTCCGCTTCTCTCGACATGGAAAACAAGACAAAAATAATGGCGGTGTATCTTTCCATCTTCTAACGGAAGATTCACTTTCGTTTTGAACATTTCGAGAGTAGTGGAGGCGGCCCGCGATGGGCGGCGAGCCGGAAACTGCGCAGGCGCGACGGCGTAGCAGACGGGGACGAAAGGTCGGGCTATCGATCTGCAGTAGGGTGCCGATGTCGCAGCATCAGGGAGTGTGTCCCGACCGGAGGAAAAATGGCCTGCGCTGGTGGGCTGATACGGCCTCGGGGGTACGGTTTTCTGCGCTGAAGGCCTGGAAGAGACGGGTGACTATCTTTCTTTGAATGGGGGGTCCCCTAAGGGGCGACATCCCCCTTGCATGGATTATAACGGGTAAGCCCCGTCGATCCTCATTATCTATGGACAGAAGACTTGTCGGTGCTAATCAGTCAGAGGACGTGGGACCTCGTTTCCGAACATCAAACATCACCGCTGGTAGTAAGAGGTGTGCTTCTGTGGTGGATGTATCCCGCAGGACACAGCAAATCCCCAGACCATCCACGGCTAAACTCCCACGAGCAGGGATTAAACCACCAGTACTTGGCTCACCTATTGGCCGTAGATAAAGAGGACCGTGCACATGGGATCTCGGCCCAGTAATACAATGCAGATCCCCAGACTACCGGTAGCCCCGTCAAATTGTACCCGCCGGAAGCCTGACATTTCGGGCACTGACGTACATTCTGAATGGGAATGCTGCAGGCCAAGCGGTCCATGCGCTCTGACCAAAGAGTACGAGCCCCCTGCCTTCAGTTCGCAAGAGAACCCCCCTCGATTGTGGACTTGCAGAGATAGAACGCTCAGATCCGTTTGGTAGGGAGCAAAGCCTGCCCGAAAATTGTCCGGTGTCCCCTCCGAGAATGGAAGCAACATGAACAAAGGAGGGGTCCGACCGGGCGCCTCTTGCAGTCCCTGCAGATGTCACTTCAGGTCGGCGCGAATTACTGTGGCATTTTCGAGGGACTCGGTAGTCGCTGCTCACCCACTGTAGTTCAGCTACGGCAACGCCCCTGCTGGTCGGGTGGATCCCTCCTAAGAGCGGCCCGGTAGTATCCCCCTGCATGTGCGGCTTGGAGTAATGTCTACATCAACAACCTAAGGGAAGTCAATCCTCGTGGTATATGGCGGCATTCAGAAGCTTCGGTCAACCGTGATGGTATAACTCTTCTTCCCCGAACCACATGCCCTGTATACGAGAGTGGTATAAAAGTTATTGGAAGCCTCAGTTACCTCTTGTAATCGTCATAACTCCTTTTATCCTTCTAACAAGTTTATCATCTCTCCAGATGGAGGAAACCTCACAACCGGGTACATCACAACAGAAAGTGTACAGCAGGGAAGAGAAGAAACAAATCCGTTCGTTGTTGGAAGCATGCTATTGAGATGGGGTTCTTCTGTCAGAACTAGATATAGGTGTGGTGAAAATTGGGGATGATTTTGCGTGATTTAATGTAAATGAAAGTTTCTCCAAACTGAATATTACATGGCAACGACAACATGCGATCACAATCTTGTTTCAAGATGGGAACAAAGTCCTCTCGAACGATGTGAAGAAAAAATGGCTTGTACTTATGACGACTCTTGGTATGATTGAAACGGTTTTCACCTCTTAGCAGTAGCGGATGCAGTACCCAGGGTTCGATCCCTAGACCTCACCCTACCCATGTACAGTATCTGTGTAGACCCCGAGAATTGAACTTGTGACCTGTGTATTCGTAGGCAGTTGGTAGACCTGTCGTAGGTCCATAGACAGCAGGGGTTCGATCTGTAGGTCTATAGCGTAGGAGTCTTAGTGAGTTCTGGAAGCTTAGCTGTAGACCTTCTAGAAGGTAGGCAAGTGGGCAAGTGGTGAGGCAAGTGGTGGACTAAACCGCAGTGCAACAGCAGTGCAACGGCGGTAGGATAGCGGTGAGTCCACAGTCAGTCAATGGAAGGTCCAGTCAGTCCCAGTCCGGTCCAGCAAGTACCACAGGGGGACTGTAAGCACCAAGGGCCGATGGCAAAGGGCAGACCAACGAGTTTCTGAAGTATAAATCAAGAGGCAGCGCCCAGCCATTCATTCATTCCTGCGTGAGCCATGCGGAAGCGCTGCCACAGCGACTTGTGAAAGGAGGTCTGCAGATGAGCTCGGAGGACGCAGTGGGCTAGAGAGAGGGAGTTAGCATAGCGATAGGGTAAATGCAGCGACAACTGCCATAGCTGTAGTTAGTAGTGAGTGTGTGTGTGTGTTCGAGTGTTAGAGTGATGCGTGTGCGATATCCAGGG